ACGGATTGTTCGTTGTTGCTGAAGAACCTCTTAATTGAGGTATTATCAGCTGAGAGCAAGAATATCAGCAATGTGGCCCATGTTTTATGCCACCCAAGCATCCAAACCACGTGTACAGTCAACAAAACATGGATGTTACCATGCCTCCCACCTTCAACACTCAGTACAGCGGAACCCCCTCTAACTGACACCTGGGGATTTCGCCATTTTGTCTTTTTCTCCTTGCTGACATCTCAGCTTTGTCTAATACATGTCTCACTTCCCCAACATAAACAGATCTCTGTTTTGTCTAATGCATGTCTCACCTCCCCAACATAAACATGATCTCTGTTTTGTCTAATGCATGTCTCACCTCCCCAACATGACAGATCTCTGCTTTGTCTAATGCATGTCTCACTTCCCCAACATAGACAGATCTCTGTTTTGTCTAATGCATGTCTCACTTCCCCAACATAGACAGATCTCTGTTTTGTCTAATGCTTGTCTCACTTCCCCAACATAGACAGATCTCTGTTGTGTCTAATGCATATCTCACCTCCCCAACATAGACAGATCTCTGCTTTGTCTAATGCATGTCTCACCTCCCCAACATAGACATATCTCTGTTTTATCTCATGCACGTCTCACCTCCACAACATGACAGATCTCTGTTTTGTCTAATGCACGTCTCACCTCCCCAACATGACAGATCTCTGTTTTGTCTAATGCATGTCTCACCTCCCCAACATAGACAGATCTCTGTTTTGTCTAATGCATGTCTCACTTCCCCAACATAGTCAGATCTCTGTTTTGTCTAATGCATGTCTCACTTCCCCAACATAGACAGATCTCTGTTTTGTCTAATGCATGTCTCACCTCCCCAACATAGACAGATCTCTGTTTTGTCTAATGCATGTCTCACCTCCCCAACATAGACAGATCTCTGTTTTGTCTAATGCATGTCTCACTTCCCCAACATAGACAGATCTCTGTTTTGTGTAATACATGTCTCACTTCCCCAACATAGACAGATCTCTGTTTTGTCTAATGCATGTCTCACTTCCCCAACATAGACAGATCTCTGTTTTGTCTAATGCATGTCTCACCTCCCCAACATGACAGATCTCTGTTTTGTCTAATGCATGTCTCACCTCCCCAACATAGACAGATCTCTGTTTTGTCAAATGCATGTCTCACCTCCCCAACATAGACAGATCTCTGTTTTGTCTAATGCATGTCTCACTTCCCCAACATAGACAGATCTCTGTTTTGTCCAATGCATGTCTCACCTCCCCAACATAGACAGATCACTGTTTTGTCTAATGCATGTCTCACCTCCCCAACATAGACAGACTTCTGTTTTGTGTAATACATGTCTCACTTCCCCAACATAGACAGATCTCTGTTTTGTCTAATGCATGTCTCACCTCCCCAACATAGACAGATCTCTGTTTTGTCTAATGCATGTCTCACCTCCCCAACATAGACAGATCTCTGTTTTGTCTAATGCATGTCTCACCTCCCCAACATAGACTGATCTCTGTTTTGTCTAATGCATGTCTCACCTCCCCAACATAGACTGATCTCTGTTTTGTCTAATGCATGTCTCACCTCCCCAACATAGACAGATCTCTGTTTTGTGTAATACATGTCTCACCTCCCCAACATAGACAGATCTCTGTTTTGTCTAATGCATGTCTCACCTCCCCAACATAGACAGATCTCTGTTTTGTGTAATACATGTCTCACCTCCCCAACATAAACATGATCTCTGTTTTGTCTAATGCATGTCTCACCTCCCCAACATAGACAGATCTCTGTTTTGTCAAATGCATGTCTCACCTCCCCAACATAGACAGATCTCTGTTTTGTCTAATGCATGTCTCACTTCCCCAACATAGACAGATCTCTGTTTTGTCCAATGCATATCTCACCTCCCCAACATAGACAGATCACTGTTTTGTCTAATGCATGTCTCACCTCCCCAACATAGACAGATCTCTGTTTTGTGTAATACATGTCTCACTTCCCCAACATAGACAGATCTCTGTTTTGTCTAATGCATGTCTCACCTCCCCAACATAGACAGATCTCTGTTTTGTCTAATGCATGTCTCACCTCCCCAACATAGACAGATCTCTGTTTTGTCTAATGCATGTCTCACCTCCCCAACATAGACAGATCTCTGTTTTGTGTAATACATGTCTCACCTCCCCAACATAAACATGATCTCTGTTTTGTCTAATGCATGTCTCACCTCCCCAACATAGACTGATCTCTGTTTTGTCTAATGCATGTCTCACCTCCCCAACATAGACAGATCTCTGTTTTGTCTAATGCATGTCTCAACTCCCCAACATAAACATGATCTCTGTTTTGTCTAATGCATGTCTCACCTCCCCAACATAAACATGATCTCTGTTTTGTCTAATGCATGTCTCACCTCCCCAACATAGACTGATCTCTGTTTTGTCTAATGCATGTCTCACCTCCCCAACATAGACAGATCTCTGTTTTGTGTAATACATGTCTCACCTCCCCAACATAAACACATGATCTCTGTTTTGTCTAATGCATGTCTCACCTCCCCAACATAAACATGATCTCTGTTTTGTCTAATGCATGTCTCACCTCCCCAACATAAACATGATCTCTGTTTTGTCTAATGCATGTCTCACCTCCCCAACATAGACTGATCTCTGTTTTGTCTAATGCATGTCTCACCTCCCCAACATAGACAGATCTCTGTTTTGTGTAATACATGTCTCACCTCCCCAACATAAACACATGATCTCTGTTTTGTCTAATGCATGTCTCACTTCCCCAACATAAACACATGATCTCTGTTTCGTCTAATGCATGTCTCACCTCCCCAACATAGACAGATCACTGTTTTGTCTAATGCATGTCTCACCTCCCCAACATAGACAGATCTCTGTTTTGTCTAATGCATGTCTCACTTCCCCAACATAGACAGATCTCTGTTTTGTGTAATACATGTCTCACTTCCCCAACATAGACAGATCTCTGTTTTGTCTAATGCATGTCTCACTTCCCCAACATGACAGATCTCTGTTTTGTCTAATGCATGTCTCACCTCCCCAACATAGACAGATCTCTGTTTTGTCTAATGCATGTCTCACCTCCCCAACATAGACAGATCTCTGTTTTGTCTAATGCATGTCTCACCTCCCCAACATAGACAGATCTCTGTTTTGTCTAATGCATGTCTCACCTCCCCAACATAGACTGATCTCTGTTTTGTCTAATGCATGTCTCACCTCCCCAACATAGACTGATCTCTGTTTTGTCTAATGCATGTCTCACCTCCCCAACATAAACATGATCTCTGTTTTGTCTAATGCATGTCTCACCTCGCAGGGGTCGAACACGGACTGTTATCCAGAACAGCGAACACACTAATCAGGGCGCCACAAGAGGGCGTGTCACACATTACAGAGGTCGAACACGGACTGTTATCCAGAACAGTGAACACACTAATCAGGGCGCCACAAGAGGGCGTGTCACACATTACAGGGGTCGAACGCGGACTGTTATCCAGAACAGTGAACACACTAATCAGGGCGCCACATGGGGGCGTGTCACACCTCACAGGGGTCGAACACGGACTGTGAGCCGGAACAGCGAACACATTAATAATATGGCCACTTAGCAGTGCTATATTCACTTACCAAAGGCCTGACCCCGATCACAAAGCGGACGCGGATTTAATACTTGCCATCAACATTTAACTCATGTATTGATTGATAACTACTCTGTTTATTTTGCTGGGATATTTGATCATAATACGTGAAGACTTCAAGTAAATATCCTTCTCTCAGAAACAAATGTCTGTCAAAAAGCTTGTAAGCGATCAATTCTAGCAAAGGTGACTTGTTCTGCACTTGTATTAGGGACTTGTTTTGTTTATTTGTTGATCAACGCCGAACTCACCAAAACTCCAAATAAATGACGGCGGTCTGCAGATAATCGACCAGACAAACCAGTGTTTAACATCATGAGCATCGGTCTACGCATTTGGGATGGCATGACATGCATCAACCAAGTCAGCGAACCTGACCGCCCGACCCCGGTGGTTGTAAGCGAGTGAGTGAGTAAGTGTGTGTCTATTGTATCAAATGTTGAATCGGGGAACACCAGAATCTGTTCATCTGTAAAGGGTTCGAACTCGGTCTTTTTCATCAGTAATCATGGTGTTCTTTTGCCCAACATCAGTGTTTGTTTGTTTGCTTATTTGTTTTTTAACGCCGCACTGGGCAATATTCCAGCTATATGACGGCAATTTGTAAATAATCGAGTCTGACCAGAAAATCCAGTGATTGACCTCATGAGCAATTGGGATACGGTGACATTTGGATCTTACGACAAGCATCTATATAGTCGCCTTTTACGGCAAGGATGGGTTGCTGAGGACCTATTCTACCCCGGATCTTTACAGGTCTGAGAGAGATTTTGGACATTGCAGATAGAAACTGATGGCGATTCAACATATTGCGTACATGATGATGATGATGATGATGATGATGATAATGAACAGGAGGAGGAGGAGGAGGAGGATTGGCACGTGGGATGTGTGTATTACTTTTCACTGAAGACCCCCGAAGACGCTGTAAACCAATCGTTCACTCTATTTTCATTTTCATTCAAGCATTTATCGGTGATATATTGTCGTGAGAGGTTGGGTGTCATAAACAATCACCAAACTTAGTTTCCGCTTCAGTGAAGCCCCATACAGGGCTTCCAACCAGTCATACGCTGACCTCGCAGGAATATAATTTTCACTCCCTCTTGTTCTTAGAATGCGAAATCCTTGCCATCGAAATGACGTGTTATTGATATAGGCGTTGGATGCGTATCTTGGTCAGACACGGGCTGGTCAAGGGGGGCCAGGAGAATGAAGCAGTACTTATAGCATCACAGTCCTCTATCCCCGATCTATACCATGTCTCGCATGGGCTGACCTCGCTGAGATTAGCGACCCCGTCCACGTCCCCTCCTCATCAGCTGCGGCTGTCGACAACCCCGCTCTGGACGGAGATACTCATCACATTTATTACACAATAAACAATAAGCTTTGACGTGGAGCTATTTACTGGGAGTTTAGACTCGAATGTATGGGGCTATTGGTGGGATTGAACTGTCGTCCTTGATTGTCCTCGTGGGACGATGTGCTGGGACGTGGAATGTTGTGGGAAACTTGGACACCGTGTCTGGAGGTGCAGTTTGGACACTCAGTGAGTTGGTGGGTGAGTTGGTGGGTGAGTTGGTGGGTGAGTTGGTGGGTGGGCTTTTGAGCGTGTTTGTGAGTGAGTTAATAAGAGTGTTTGTGTGAGTGAGTTGGCGAGTGAGGTGATGGGTGCGTGAGGTAGTGAGTGTGTTAGTGGGTTCTTTGTTGAGTGAGTGAGTTAGTGCGGGAGTTATTGAGTCATTTGGTGGGTGAGTTGGTGAGTTATTTGGAGAGTGAGTTAGTGAGTGAGTTAATGAGTGAGTTGGCGAGTGTGTTAGTGAGTTGACGAGTGAGTTAGTGAGTGAGTTGGTGGGTGAGTTGGTGAGTGATTTTGATGAGTGAGTTGGTGAGTGAGTGAGTTTGGTTAACACCGCACGGAACTATCTTTCGACTACGTCACGGCGTCTTAATGTTGGAGGAAAACCAAAAGGGTGGGATGTTTTTTTGTTGTTGTTCAACTTACTCAGCAATACTTCAGCAATACTTCAGCAATACTTCAGCAATACTTACCCTCACGCAGCAATACCTCAGCTATATGACAGCAGCATAGTCGACTACCGGGTACCCACTTGCTACCTAGATCTGCACGCTGAGACCAGGTATTGTGTGTACTGACGGGATCGGGTGGTCAGGCTCGCTGACTTGGTTGATGCATGTCATTGTATACCAAGTGCGTATCGATGCTCATGATGTCAATCACTTGATTGCCTGGTCCAGACTCGACTATTTACAGACCGCAGTCATAAAAGCTGTAACATGTAACACACATACAAAGTGGTGTTATACTGAGATTTTGTCTGTGTGTAAGTAGAATAATCACTAACGACTACATCGGCATGCAAAGTTTCCAGAAAAAATAGTGTTTTAAATTTCTTGAATGAAACTTGCTTGGGATGTGTTACGATTAGATTGGAAGCTGTCCCTGTGTCAGGTATTAATTTTAAAGAATAGTAATTTAAAAAAGAAATATTCGTTTCCGCTTCCCCTCTTCCTCTTTTTGTGTGTTCCGAATGCATTCAAACCTTAATATAGTATCTTGTTGAGACATTGTTACCTTTAAGTAAGGATAAGATAAATGGATGAACAACTTCTTTTTTACAATTAGGAGCGACGTTTCGGTGCAGGTTCTCACACCGTTGTGAAACAACCTCCACCGACACGTCGCTCCTAATTGTAATAAAGAAGTTGTTCATCCATATATCTTATCCTTATTTAGTACTTCAACTTCTAAATGCCTCTCAAAGAAGTTATTGTTACCTTTGTTTATTTTGTTGCATTGTGTATGTTTACTTGTTTATGGTTATTTGAAGCGTTATTTTCATGTTGTCACAATAAACAGGCTGATCCAGCCAGTCTCCCTTTATAACGTATGAGAACATGTCTTAACAGCATATCAACAATGTTTTCAATGGTGTTTAGATTTATCATTGTAAATAGCTGAGAGTGCGGGTTCGTCAGGTGTAGAGCTATTTTGGTCATCTTTTAACATCTTCTTTGTCAACAATTAGTTTTCATTAACAGCAGTTACACCCATCGTTCTTCCCCTCCATGTTTCGTCTCAGGAAAATGCGACTGGGCCTGTGTGACGCTTACTCAAGATCATCTACATCGCCCTGACTTGGGAGAAATAACATAACACCCAAACATCTCAATAAATAACATGGTGACGTAGTGGCTGAAATTGCAGTGCATGAACTTCAATTCATGTTGGAAGCAATTAAAACATGTCCCAGAAAATGTAGTTCGCACGAAATACAAGATCGGCGTTATGCCAGTGCTGTAATGAGACGCACTCGGAGAGATAAACAAGATCCAGAGAAGTACAGCGGTAGTTAAACAGTTCCACTGGGCAGGTCATCGCTTTCTGGTGTTTGGCATTCCTTTAATATATTAATTTGTGAAGGAACGCACACATCGCCTCCAGGTGAATAATTGTCAGTCAGTGAGTGAGATAAAACGCACTAGTCAGCAATTTCACCGCTCTATCGCGACGGGTTATAAATAAGCACTGGTTGGTTGGTTGTTGTTTAACGCCGCACTCAGCTATATTCCACCTATATGACGGCGGTCTGTAAATAATAGAGTCTGGACCAGACAATCCAGTGATTAACACCATGAGCATCGATCCATGCAATTGGGATACGATGACATGCATCAACCAAGTCAGCGAGCCTGACCACCCGATCCCGTTAGTCGCCTCTTACGACAAGCATAGTCGCCTTTTACGGCAAGTATGGGTTGCTGAATACCTATTCTATCCCGGATCTTCACAGGTCTGTAAATAAGCGAGTCTGGACAAGGCCAACCGATGACCAGAAGCCTGAGCAACGATCCACGTCATCGGGCTCACTGATGCGCAATCAGCCAGATCACAGATGCTGAACAACCAATCCCCATTGTTCTCAGAGAAGCCAGGGCAACTGGCGACCTAATCTGAGCCGGAAGTACTACAGGGAGGTCGGTCTGGTGCGGTAACATCTCCCTGGGAGTAAAGTAATACTCAAACCACCCAGGGATGCCACCATGCTGTATAGATAGGGAGGGATGCCACCATGTTGTATAGATAGGGAGGGGTGCCACCATGATGTATAGATAGGGAGGGATGCCACCATGTTGTATAGATAGGGAGGGATGCCACCATGCTGTATAGATAGGGAGGGATGCCACCATGGTGTATAGATAGGGAGGGATGCCACCATGTTGTATAGATAGGGAGGGGTGCCACCATGCTGTATAGATAGGGAGGGATGCCACCATGTTGTATAGATAGGGAGGGATGCCACCATGTTGTATAGATAGGGAGGGGTGCCACCATGCTGTATAGATAGGGAGGGGTGCCACCATGTTGTATAGATAGGGAGGGATGCCACCATGGTGTATAGATAGGGAGGGATGCCACCATGGTGTATAGATAGAGAGGGATGCCACCATGTTGTATAGATAGGGGAGGGATGCCACCATGCTGTATAGATAGGGAGGGATGCCACCATGTTGTATAGATAGGGAGGGATGCCACCATGTTGTATAGATAGGGAGGGATGCCACCATGCTGTATAGATAGGGAGGGATGCCACCATGGTGTATAGATAGGGAGGGGTGCCACCATGTTGTATAGATAGGGAGGGATGCCACCATGTTGTATAGATAGGGAGGGATGCCACCATGCTGTATAGATAGGGAGGGATGCCACCATGCTGTATAGATAGGGAGGGTTGCCAACATGCTGTATAGATAGGGAGGGATGCCACCATGTTGTATAGATAGGGAGGGATGCCACCATGTTGTATAGATAGGGAGGGATGCCACCATGCTGTATAGATAGGGGAGGGATGCCACCATGGTGTATAGATAGGGAGGGATGTCAACATGTTGTATAGATAGGGAGGGATGCCACCATGCTGTATAGATAGGGAGGGATGCCACCATGTTGTATAGATAGGGAGGGATGTCACCATGTTGTATAGATAGAGAGGAATGCCATCATGTTGTATAGATAGAGAGGGATGCCACCATGTTGTATAGATAGGGAGGGGTGCCACCAGGTTGTATAGATAGGGAGGGGTGCCACCATGGTGTATAGATAGGGGAGGGATGCCACCATGTTGTATAGATAGGGAGGGATGCCACCATGTTGTATAGATAGGGGAGGGATGCCACCATGTTGTATAGATAGGGAGGGATGCCACCATGTTGTATAGATAGGGAGGGATGCCACCAGGTTGTATGGATAGGGAGGGTTGCCCCCATGGTGTATAGATAGGGAGGGATGCCACCATGGTGTATAGATAGGGAGGGGTGCCACCATGATGTATAGATAGGGAGGGATGCCACCATGTTGTATAGATAGGGAGGGATACCACCATGCTGTATAGATAGGGGAGGGATGCACCATGTTGTATAGATAGGGGAGGGATGCCACCATGTTGTATAGATAGGGAGGGATGCCACCATGTTGTATAGATAGGGAGGGATGCCACCATGTTGTATAGATAGGGGAGGGATGCCACCATGCTGTATAGATAGGGAGGGATGCCACCATGTTGTATAGATAGGGGAGGGATGCCACCTTGTTGTATAGATAGGGGAGGGATGCCACCATGGTGTATAGATAGGGGAGGGATGCCACCATGGTGTATAGATAGGGAGGGGTGCCACCATGGTGTATAGATAGGGAGGGATGCAACCATGGTGTATAGATAGGGAGGGATGCCACCATGTTGTATAGATAGGGGAGGGATGCACCATGTTGTATAGATAGGGGAGGGATGCCACCATGTTGTATAGATAGGGAGGGATGCCACCATGTTGTATAGATAGGGAGGGATGCCACCATGTTGTATAGATAGGGAGGGATGCCACCAGGTTGTATGAATAGGGAGGGTTGCCCCCATGGTGTATAGATAGGGGAGGGATGCCACCATGGTGTATAGATAGGGAGGGGTGCCACCATGGTGTATAGATAGGGAGGGATGCCACCATGTTGTATAGATAGGGAGGGATACCACCATGCTGTATAGATAGGGGAGGGATGCACCATGTTGTATAGATAGGGGAGGGATGCCACCATGTTGTATAGATAGGGAGGGATGCCACCATGTTGTATAGATAGGGAGGGATGCCACCATGTTGTATAGATAGGGGAGGGATGCCACCATGCTGTATAGATAGGGAGGGATGCCACCATGTTGTATAGATAGGGGAGGGATGCCACCATGTTGTATAGATAGGGGAGGGATGCCACCATGGTGTATAGATAGGGGAGGGATGCCACCATGGTGTATAGATAGGGGAGGAATGCCACCATGTTGTATAGATAGGGAGGGATGCCACCATGTTGTATAGATAGGGGAGGGATGCCACCATGTTGTATAGATAGGGAGGGATGCCACCATGGTGTATAGATAGGGAGGGGTGCCACCATGGTGTATAGATAGGGAGGGATGCAACCATGGTGTATAGATAGGGAGGGATGCACCATGTTGTATAGATAGGGGAGGGATGCCACCATGTTGTATAGATAGGGAGGGATGCCACCAGGTTGTATAGATAGGGAGGGATGCCACCATGTTATATAGATAGGGGAGGGATGCCACCATGTTGTATAGATAGGGAGGGATGCCACCATGGTGTATAGATAGGGAGGGATGCCACCAGGTTGTATAGATAGGGAGGGGTGCCACCATGGTGTATAGATAGGGAGGGATGCCACCATGTTGTATAGATAGGGGAGGGATGCCACCATGGTGTATAGATAGGGGAGGGATGCCACCATGGTGTATAGGTAGGAAGGGGTGCCACCATGGTGTATAGATAGGGAGGGGTGCCACCATGGTGTATAGATAGGGGAGGGGTGCCACCATTGTGTATAGATAGGGAGGGATGCCACCATGCTGTATAGATGGGGGAGGAATGCCACCATTTTGTAAAGATAGGGAGGGGGGGATGTGTGTGTGTGTGTGTGGGGGGGGGGGGGGGGGGGGGGGGGGGGGATGCCACCATGTTTATCTGAAGTTCGGGAAACCTCATCTCCTCGGGAACGAAGGTTTAACAAATCGGATAGAGAAACACCTCAATAATGAGGTCCTTGAAATGGGAAGGGCAATGGTTTTATTAGAGGCACGTACATGAGTACGTGTGTGTTAGACTGACATTTAGTCCCAGAATAAAGTTATCTTATTTAAAAACATATATCGACAAAATAAAACAATTAAATCCAAATGTAGCCCAGAGCGGAGGTAATCAAGACTTGCCAAATCATTCTAGACTTAAGTTTGGCTCCCTTTTTAATTTATTCTTTTAGGTTTGGGAGACAGACTACACGTGAGAGTACGACACAGCTTATGTCTAGTGTTTAAGAGAAATTCCAAAGGAGTGAGAAGGATTTTACGAAGTAATTATTTCAGCAATACTACGGCGAGGACCCCTGAAAATGGTTTGTCTACCAGACCCAAGAGAATATGTTAAAAATCGGATCCAACTCAAGTCTAGATTGCCTCAGTCTGAAATTAAGCATATTTCTGGGCTCCATTTGGATTGTATTTTCTATTTTGTAGATACATATTTTTAAATAAGAGAACTTTATTTCTGGGCCTAAATGTTAGTCTAACCTGAATAGAGCTTTGCACTTTGTAGCTAAGGAACCGACCATTTGATATTCTGGGGTGGGGTGGATGGGTGGGGGGTAGGGGGAAATGGGATTTTGTATCTGAATTTGATATTTTTCGGCGTGAGGATCCCAAAGGCTTTGACCACTAAGCTACCCAGCCGCCGCTTTTTGCATTTAAACCATCGGAGAACAACCGCCTTCTTATTCAGAAGCGCACAGTGCGGAAACAGGGAGAGAATATTAACAATGTCTTTGTATCTCGATTTCGGAAATTCATTTAAACAACTGTGGGTTAACAAATGCCTTCCCACCATTACCGGTCGTGTCCTGATTGCTATGGCGGATCGAGTTTATTAGGGCAAATCAGTTAACGACTTTTGAGGACAAATCTTTGATTTCTTTGACTTGAGCACCCCAAGCATCCTCGATGCAATTGCCTGTAGTTGTCAACAGTCGGGCATCAAGTCACGTGAAGCCTAACGAAGACAGTAGACCAGTTGTTATATATCAAAGGAAATTCCTCTTAATTGGCTATTTCACCACTCCATGCATGGCGCCTCCGTCGGGTCGGTAAACGTTCTGGACAATTTCCAGGAATGGACAAATGTATTGGCAGTGACCAGCTAGCCAGTTCTGGCGTTATTCACACAACAAATAGTGTGTTGTATTGGTAAGGAAGTTTGGGCTGGGGCTCATACCAATACGGGTGTCCAGAGTGTACCGGGTGTCCAAGGTGTATCGGGTGTCCAGGGTGTACCGGGTGTCCTGGGCGTACCGGGTGTCAAAGATGTACCGGGTGTCCAAGGCGCAACGATCTGCATGCCGAGTTGCGGCACGTTTAGGCGTGTCAGGAACATATGGTCGTGGGTTCGAATCCCCGATTGGCTTTATTATATAGTCCTCCCAGATAAAACCTTAACGCGGTGATATAACTGCTCAAAGTGGCTTTAAACCAACTCACTTTTTCACCCTAATGGAGGCCTCCACTGAGATGCAGGGTGTACATGATGACAAATCTGATGGAACACACAAAAGATTTGGTGCTGGCAAAACAGGAATACTCATAGAATAGAATTTTATTGTACAAAAACGCCCACATGATACATCCTTACACTTCTGTCGGTTAACAAGACTGTCCAGATGAGACATCATTACCCTTCTGTCGGTTAACAAGACTGTCCAGATGAGACATCCTTACCCTTCTGTCGGTTAACAAGACTGTCCAGATGAGACATCCTTACCCTTCTGTCGGTTAACAAGACTGTCCAGGTGAGACACCCTTACCCTTCTGTCGGTTAACAAGACTGTCCAGATGATACATACTCTCCCTTCTGTCGGTTAACAAGACTGTCCAGATGAGACATCCTTACCCTTCTGTCGGTTAACAAGACTGTCCAGGTGAGACATCCTTACCCTTCCGTCGGTTAACAAGACTGTCCAGATGAGACATCCTTACCCTTTTGTCGGTTAACAAGACTGTCCAGGTGAGACACCCTTACCCTTCTGTCGGTTAACAAGACTGTCCAGATGAGACATCATCACCCTTCTGTCGGTTAACAAGACTGTCCAGATGAGACATCCTTACCCTTCTGTCGGTTAACAAGACTGTCCAGATGAGACATCCTTACCCTTCTGTCGGTTAACAAGACTGTCCAGGTGAGACACCCTTACCCTTCTGTCGGTTAACAAGACTGTCCAGATGATACATACTCTCCCTTCTGTCGGTTAACAAGACTGTCCAGATGAGACATCCTTACCCTTCTGTCGGTTAACAAGACTGTCCAGGTGAGACATCCTTACCCTTCCGTCGGTTAACAAGACTGTCCAGATGAGACATCCTTACCCTTTTGTCGGTTAACAAGACTGTCCAGGTGAGACACCCTTACCCTTCTGTCGGTTAACAAGACTGTCCAGATGAGACATCATCACCCTTCTGTCGGTTAACAAGACTGTCCAGATGAGACATCATCACCCTTCTGTCGGTTAACAAGACTGTCCAGATGATACATACTTTCCCTTCTGTCGGTTAACAAGACTGTCCAGATGATACATACTTTCCCTTCTGTCGGTTAACAAGACTGTCCAGATGATACATACTTTCCCTTCTGTCGGTTAACAAGACTGTCCAGATGAGACATCCTTACCCTTCTGTCGGTTAACAACACTGTCCAGATGATACATCATCACCCTTCTGTCGGTTAACAAGACTGTCCAGATGATACATACTTTCCCTTCTGTCGGTTAACAAGACTGTCCAGATGATACATACTTTCCCTTCTGTCGGTTAACAAGACTGTCCAGATGAGACATCATCACCCTTCTGTCGGTTAACAAGACTGTCCAGATGAGACATCCTTACCCTTCTGTCGGTTAACAACACTGTCCAGATGATACATTATCACCCTTCTGTCGGTTAACAAGACTGTCCAGATGATACATACTTTCCCTTCTGTCGGTTAACAAGACTGTCCAGATGATACATACTTTCCCTTCTGTCGGTTAACAAGACTGTCCAGATGATACATACTTTCCCTTCTGTCGGTTAACAAGACTGTCCAGATGAGACATCCTTACCCTTCTGTCGGTTAACAAGACTGGCCAGATGAGACATCCTTACCCTTCTGTCGGTTAACAAGACTGTCCAGATGAGACATCCTTATCCTTCTGTCGGTTAACAAGACTGTCCAGATGAGACATCCTTACCCTTTTGTCGGTTAACAAGACTGTCCAGATGAGACATCCTTATCCTTCTGTCGGTTAACAAGACTGTCCAGATGAGACATCCTTACCCTTCTTGTATAACTCCATCTTCAAGC